AAAAAAAAAAAAAAAAAAAACCAAAAAAAAAAAAAAAAAAAAAAAAATGGAGAAGAAGAAGAAAAAAACATGAAGAAGAATTAAAAATGGCAGACATTGAATTCTATTTGATAACAGCTAGATACTAACACTTCATCTACCTAAAATGTTCTCTTAATTAGTTATGAACTAAAGTCTTCTCCTAAATCCTGACCTATTGTGTTATTTCACGTGTCTAAAGTCGAAGGGGACAAAAGGGATCTTCTCCTAATACACGTATGTTAGGTAATTAATTGTTTAATTATTATTCTTTTGGTTGGTTGGAGATAAGAAATGATTTGCACCAATTAATTAGCGTGTCATATTATCTATAATCAACATAAGCTATGCACTAATACTCATTAGATCATTTTTTTGTTAGACATTTTTTATTAAACCTTGTTATATGTACAATGTGATGTACACTTTAATTTACATTTTGTCACATGACATTATCCTATTGAACAGTTTAAATATCAAATTTTTTTTTATCCAATTGACACTCGACAACAATATAAGTGTCAATCAAAGTATCAAAAATTAGTGTACAAATAGTAAATTTCTTTTTGATTTAGGATGGAATATTTCCCTTCAACCCTCTAAACGAAATACGGTAAAAAAAGAAAGAAAGAAAAATTATCAACTAATTCCATCGTCTACATCCCGTAAAAATTACGAGATCGCTACAAATGCACCAAATATGATATTTGGCACTTCGAATAAGAGATGTCGTGAATTTGATATGGATACTATTGGGTGGATGTCTTCCATAATACTAGAGACCAATAGTAGAAGAATTTGGAAAATTGCAGAAAACTCGAACTTCATCAATATCGACTTTAATGCAACGCATGTTACATGATTGCTTTTGCGTTAATTGTCGTCACCAATTCTATGATCCGCTTCGAGAACACAAAATACCTCTCCAAAATACAATGATACCTCAATATTTTGTGTGTTGTGTAATTACAAAAACAAACTCGAATACCAAAGAAAGTAGGTGTCTATACTCGAGATCTATAATTTGTCTCTGCAATATGACAAAGTATGCACTCGGTGACTCGTAGGCACTTGATGAATTTTTTTTTTTTTTTACATATTCATATTCAACCATATATTCACATAATAAAAATATTTTGTACGTACACTCAAATTTATTTATTTTAATCATATAGTCTCCTCAAAATCTCTATTCAAAACTTTGTTTTGTTCAAATAATAACCATCAAACAGGGCTTAATGTTATTTTTTTTTATCGAGTGACTATTCGTGTAATGGTTATAAACTTGAGTGATTATTATCGTAAAACATATTAGTTGCCATTAACATAAGTACTCAAAATTTTAGTGATCATTGACATAATTATTCCTAGATTTTAATATACCTTGTCACGTAGAGTTGCAACCTATCATTTGTGACTTTTAATTTTAAATTTAAATTAATTATTACCATTAAAACTGTCAAAATTGTCGAAGAGTTCAGGCACCTTTCTAGACGTCACGCGCGACACCATTGAGAATTGCTAGGAAAATATGTGAATTTTCAATAATATCTTACTTTTCATTTCCAACATGCAATAAATACATGCTCAATTTTGACCAATCTAAACAAGTGAGACGATGATTAGGTCATACATTTAGAGAAGGGTTCGGCTATACGTACACGGGGAGTACACTCCGGTGTGCACGCCGTCTCACATGAGAGGTCAGCCGCAAGCATTTATTGGGTGTGGGGGCCCTTTCCCATGTGAAGCTTCCAAAAATCGTACCTTGTAGATATCGAGGATGAGGACCGATAACAAGCACGGACGCAATCTTTCGGTACCTGAAACAAAGGCAATGAGATGTGTTCTCGTCGCCCCTCCAATACTTAAATCAGAAAGGGGATTGAAGAAAAATATATATTGGAAACTGTAAGTGTATAACGTACTTGATTAATGGGTTGAGGGTCTATATTTATAGAGACAGGCAGTCGAGTCCTTGCAGGATTGAACTTAGTTGAATGTTCTTATTTGATAGAGTCCTGTTTGAGAGGAATGTTTTACTCATAGTATAATTGTATGACCAATGGTGGTGTTGTTGACATAGGAGTCTCGAGTTGCGGTATTTGTATTAAGTTAGAGTTCTTAGAAGACAGGACTTCTTGAGGACTTGACAGGTGAGGGGTTAGGTCTAGGGATGGCAGTGGGCCGAGT